ACGTGTACACACTGCAGAATGTTGAAGATATAAAACAAAGCGCCGTGTGCATGTTTAAAAGAAACTGTGCCTTGTGCTGCTTCAGGTAAATAAACACAAAAAAAATTTTTTTTTTTATGTTAAGGAACTGGAAAGGAGCCAAAAATTCCGTGACGAATAGTGGAGCTATGAAAAGCATCGACATTTTTATTTAAAAAAAAAAAAAACCTGGCCACTTCTGTGTATGTGAAAACTAGGCCACGAATGCGTCTGGCATCAAAGATGCTGGAAATACTGGAAGAAGGGGTAGGTGGATGCATAGCTGTTTTCGGTATGTATTTCGTGGTCTTATTTTAAGCTAAAAAAAATGCGACCTGCTCCCCTCCCCCACAAGAACGTAAAATCAAAAATTTTTGAGTTTGTTTGAATCGGGGTCCCGGTCGAAAGGCGCAGATATCGGAGCCTACCTGTAGTAGGCAAACAGATTGTGCCAACCACACTTTTAAGGGCGAACGAAGAAGAGGATTTGAATCATGAGGATTTAGGACCACATGGCTAGTGTAGTCGCCACGGACTGCAGGCTGAGATTTTATTTTTACGATTCATTATCTTACCGAGGATTTGAGCCTGGGTCTTTCATAGTAGCTACACTTTTTTTTACCCGTTCAGCCAGCAGCCTGAGAGCAAATGTTCTGAAGAAAAAATACGTCAGTGCGGATTGGAATTCAAGACCTTCGAGGTAGCCTGGCAGCGTCTGGCCAAATTGGTTCCATACTTCTATAGATTTCAAGTATCTGAAGTACTTAGAAGCAAGGGCTAGTTCTGCAGCCTTTCAACACCAACTCTTTATCTTCTTAGTCTGGCTTCTTTTGTATCACAAACACACTGGCATGCCCTCACACACAAAAAGAAGTTGAGCGGTACATACTCATCAACAGGTCCTTTACAGAACGCCGTTCCGGTCACTCCACGCCTGAAAGTCTCTCTCTAGTCTATTCCCCAACCTTATGTGCTTTTCTAGCCAATGCATTTTAGATGTCTTATATCGAAAAACAATACTGCAGAGCTCAGTAGAGGGAAAGAGAAAAGGCAGACCAAGAAAGATCTAGTTACAGAACCTGACTGACTGGACAGGCCTCAGGCATGCAACCACGAAGTCCATCGCAAATGACTGCCGAAGATAGAGAGAAATGATCAGATAGTCAATAGAAACTGGTGACCCAACGACACGTAGTGTTACGTCATGAGGGTGATGATTTATTCACATCTGAGGTCTTTCTGCCTCATTTTCAAAGACGATACCATGGGTCGCCTTTCTCTCCACCATGATCGAAATGCCTCAGCTTTTGCCACAGGATGATGTAAGGGACACACTAGACAACATAAACATAGAAAGCTATTTATTTACCATACTGGGAATCGAACCTGTCACCTCAAAGTGACGACAGAGCTCTAATGCAGGACTGTGTTAGCCGGGTCTATTATACCACACAACAATGCCCTCATCAGCGTTTTTCTATGAGTGCCAATCATTATTTGTAACTTTTTACCACAGTATCTTCAGTAGCGAGGGCTCTATCTGGGATCAAATGAGCTGTAGTCGGTTGCCAGAGATAACTGGTAACGTCTTATGCGATTAATTGCCTGTGCAACTAGCGATCTCCTGGAAGATGACAGCATTTATAGTGTTGGCACTTCTACCTCATGTCTTTTAATGCGTTTCCACGCTTAACTGAAACTGTAGTCCGTGACAATTTTCTTCTCACAAGGGACAGTGTTGGACATTCTGTATGAATCTTGATTGGCACAGGAACGACAATGGGGTGACCCGTCTGCTGTGAACCTGACACTGTTATTACATGCAATACTCCCCATATCTAGGGAGAATTATGTCAGTCGGAAGTGAGCACAGGGTGTGAAGTCATTTCCACTCCTGTGGGGGAGGGGACTAGTGCTCTATTAACAAAATCACAATTTGCACCATCAGAAGGGGATCTCATTGTTCAATAGTGAGGCAGGAAACTTGAAAATATCAGGAGAGCTGTGGTTATGTTCTTGATTAATTATTTAACCTGAAAGGTACCCTCACTTGGTTCCTTTTCCAGACCCTTCTCACAAAATATTCCATTCTCAAGAACCATGACCAAAAAGAGTGACATGAAGCTTCAATAATTTTGGGGCTACCCATGGACCACTTCTTTTTACTTTTCTCTCATACTCCCTGTGATACCAACCCATTTTGATGTTTCACCCAACAGCAAAAAAAAAAAAAAAACACCAAACAAAACCAGGAAGCATTTCAAATATATTTAATATAACCAGTCAGCGAAGGTGTTAAAGCAGTGAAAATTAATACTGACATTTATAATGCTAACAGAAACTAAGCTGGCTGGGTCACACCATTAGCAACACAAATGTGTTGTTCATACAAATAACATAAATATGTAATTTATACAAGAAACATGTTACTCGTATAAATAGCACATGATTATATTACTCATATAAATGACAAACACATGACAAAAATAACTCCCACAAACATATGGTGCAACTTAGCATGCAGTGATCCTATGGTGTTTAAAAAATGGACCCTTTAAATTGAGCCACAATACAAAATGATCTATTGTATTAATTACCTTTTATGTACCTTGAAATTTTCATGTAAAAGATGTATACTATAAGCCACAGCATAACCAACATATAAACGTTTGGCAGGCAAGAGAACACTGCCCCACGCCATCATGATAAGATCTTTTTATTTAATTTCCCATGCTGCTATATGGAGACTGCTTACCTGTATAAGCTTACATCCCCTAGAACGCTAATTCAGCCCCACCTGGCAATCTCCCTACAGCAGGTAAAGAGCATTCTGCAACACAGGTTCAGTATTCTGTGTTGCCTGTGTACATGTGCTCGTGTAGATCATGATCTTAGGAATAAGTTTTTGGGCTGTCAAACTAGAACTACTGACTACGAAGGTGAACATTTAAAAAGAAATTGCATACAAATCCTGGGACTTAAAATCCAGACAAAAGTAATTATCTCACTAATGTGAATAATATATTATTGCTCTGATGATCTTTCCCTACTCAATAATTTGGTAGACAAAGAATCAACAATAAGAAGCCGGGTATGTATTTTGTGCACCATATTACTGTTAAAAACAAGCAACTTCTCGATAAGATATGGATTATTGTTTCGACATGACATGGATTATTATTTTTGAAAAAAATATATAGGCATAAATTTACACATTTTTGCAAACTTAGAAAATCAAATTAAATGCACACATATACATCACAAATATTATACATGCTGAAAAAAATGTAGTTAGCTTTGTCTCAATTACTTTTGAAATTGCACCAGAAAAAACAGCTGTCAAATTAAAAAAAAAAGTTTCTATTACAATGTTAGTTTGCTGTGTTTTTCCCCGCTTCTTATATTTAATCTGGATTAACTTTTCAAACTTTTTTTTTCATTTCTAGCTGGCTTTGTGTGGAAATGTCACTGCGTTCACCAAAATTTTTTATTTGGGAGTTTTTTTAAAAACTGATAGTGAACCCATATCAAGTTTAAGTACTGGAATCTGACGCTAACAATGTTAAAAAAACATTTTGCCATTATAATAAAACTGTTTTAGCATTCATCAACTGTGTGTCACTGTTCTGCTGATCACATTCTCTTTGGGAGACTTGTGAACTCTTACTTACTGCTATGAAAATCTGCAGAAACTTTCTAAATGTTAAGCGAAATGATCTTTTTCACACCACAGGTTTATCAGACATATTTTCCCACACAAACTGGCTCCTGATAGGTGAGCCTGCTGCGTCACCTTGAATTTTCTAAAACACTTCCTGGCACCACTGTAGACTGGCTGACCTGGAAACCTGACTCAGTGTGGATTCAAACCTAAGATCTTTGGACCATCAGGCAAGCATTTAATCACTGTGAAAGGTAGATCAGTGTTCGACTGGTGAGGCATAGACAAGTTGCCAAAAATGTCTTCTAGATGTGTGATTGAGCCATCAGGTGGGCCGAGAAAAAAAAAAAACTGCCTGTTTTGGTGGGCAGCTGGGAACGCTGATCTCAATCACTCTCTGTAAGGCTAGAGAAGCAAACAAATGCTACCTGATATACGCAAACGATCAAAAAGATAAGTTGGTCCAATGCACACAACTTTTAGAAACTGAAATAACCCTTAAAGTACAAGCTGGTAGACCTCGTCAAAACTGACCACTAACAAACAAAAATGCCCAGGCCATAAGAAAAAATATGCTTGTCAACTTTTAACACAAGAACTCATTATTTTAGATTGTGAACAAACCGTAACAGAATGAAATAGCTGAATCAGAAGCTTTTTAGACGTTTCATGGGATGGCATTCTGACTTCGTCCAAACTACGAGAATATGCAATCTCTTATTATTTCAAAATACTATTTTCATTTGTATTGCACTTTTTTCACAAAACAAATCAACATAAATTAATTCTGGAGTAACACAGTCACTGTAAAAAAGTATTAAATAGATGGTTATTATATACACAATACATGTTGCACTGCCAATTTCAAATGCAACAGAACCTCAGGACAAGATCAGTGATTAAGACATGTCTCCAAATGATTAAAATAATTTTGTCTTTGTAAACTTTGGGAAACACTTTAAAATTCCAGTAAAATATAAAAATTTAATGGAAAATATGTTTAAGGTAAAAACATAATCTTTGTTACAGGGAGTTTTCTTACATCTCGCTTTAAAATAAAACGTAAAGAATATTAAGGAATGCTACAGTAATGATGTTCTCGTTCATTAGCACTCATACGTGGGGGAGGAGGTTAACACTGGTGGATATGTTCTTAAATTAGCAAAACACGCAAAATGTGATAAATTTGCATGTTGCTTTCTAGTATAGGGAAAAATAACTGACATGTTTTTTCTTCTTTAGAAAACAGAATAATGTTAAAAATAAAATCTGGCAGCATCTGTGTAGGCCAGTGGTCAAACACAAAAGGACAAAAAAATAATTAAAAATCAGGAATCAGTTTACAGTGGCCAACACGAGAAAGATAGATCCGGTCAATGCTTGCAAGCTTTGCTTCCCGAACTGATCTAGGTTTGGACAGAACTGCTTCCCCTGTCATGACCTCTTCATTTTTGCTGGAGACCAGATCTTTAAGACCATGATTGTGTCGCTGATAGTAGGTAACACCGCACATTATGGTCACGTGCACCCTCTTGATGACACCATTTTCCCCAGCATCCATGGATACTTCTTCTTGAGGTCCACAGAGCTTCTTGATGGTCACCTCACCAATCTCGCTATCCATCGAGTCCTGGATGATGAATTTCTGACCAACTTCCACAGCCTATAGATATATATACAAAAATGGTTCAATAAAAATAGAAATAAAAATTGAAAACCTGCACAATTTAAAAAAAAAATCAAATACACATTCAAGACAAATTGGATGTACAATTTTGAACCAGTTCCCAATAATTTTTTGTCATCGGGCCCAAAAGCTCTAGACTATTCAGCTTTTTGTGTGGTTGAAATTACAACCAAAGCTTTATTTATCGCCAGCCATTAACTAAAGTGTTATGTGTCCTGTAATTTTTAAACTGCATATTGGAAGTTAAATACTACAAGCTTAGATATGTGCTAAAAATGGCCAAGTGAAGACATGCTGCAGGTTTACATTTTCACTATAGGCTAGTAGGCATTTCCTGGTTTCATGTTCAGAAGCTGTTGTCTTTTTCTAGTCAGTTTGTGCTGTATTTAGTACCCCTCTGATAAAAAAAAATCTGGTCGACAGTTTTATTAGTGTGTATCTTTTCCATTCCCTCAACTGACCTATCTAGTTGCATTTAGCACTTCTTGTGACAATCGAGATGAGTAAACAGGTCAACAGATTATATATATATATATATATATATATATATATAATATATATATATAGATATATAGGGGGGGGGGGGGTGTTGCCAGTGGCATGGAAGATGATCAGCATCAGACATATAAACAAGATATGTTTCTGTCAGTGCATAATCTTTAGTGATGCCAGGCAATCAACCAACATAATCTTACCAGACATCCTTATGTTGCCAAAGGAATTTCTGGTAACTATTTGATCAGCTCGAGTTAGTGAGTCACACAGGTTTATTCCCTTCTAATCAAACTTGGCTACTTTTCGTAACTAAACTGCTTGTATAGGTTTTGGGGTCGCATTGTTGGAGATAAATATAGTCCCTAACAAACATGTCTTCTGACTAATTAAGGGCTCCTTCAGAGTGCATCTGCTTAAGAGGCAAGGAACCAGCAGTCTGCGTACAAATAAGCCAGATCATCGCCGGAGTTTACAGATGGTGAATGTCAAGAAGAAGAGAGGTAACCGAACCCTGACCCAAAGATGCCTTACCTGAATGCTGAATGCGAAGCCATTTGGTTCACTATCTGACCAGAAATAGAATTCGTTGCTGTTTAACAAGTCACTGTTGAAGGTCAGACGACGACCATAGCCCATGCCGATGGACTGCAATGTCCTGGCTTTACCTCCCCACAGGGAGCTCTTGGAATCGATTTTACGAACCTGGTACTGGAAACCAGGGCAGATCCTTCTATCAACAAAGAAACCTGCAACGAGAGAATGAATGCACTTACTTGCCTGACCAGTGAAATGCACCTAACATACACGTTTACTATGGCGTATGATGCTGGTTGAGAATTGATAAAAGAGTGCTTGTCTGAAGACAGATAACTGCTTTGTTTAGACAACAAAGACAATACACAACACAAAAACAATAATTTTGATTCAATGTTTGTTTTTTCTTTGTTTGCATTTCATAGATAATTTCAGCATACTAAATGTTTACAGGAAGTACAGCTAAGCTGTTTTAAGAAAATGTATCAAACTAATAAATACAATACATCCATATAGAAAGAAATATTACAGAAAATACTGTTTAATATCACTTATTCATTTTAAATAAAATTATTTTTTGTATTTCAATCAATAAGTTAAAAAAAAACCTAACAAAGAAGCAGAGCACTTTCCAGAACAGGTATTTCACATGCTAAATATCCACATCAAAAAAAGATTTGCTGGTAATGAAAGGACTTAAATGGGTTTAGATGTAATGCTGTTCAAATATCCACTTTTATTCTAAAGTTATGCTATAATTAAAAACAAAAACTATGGTTTGGTAGCAACGATAAGATAATTGTTGATAGCACAGCAAGATGAATGTCTGGTGAAATACCCATTATGAAGAGAGCCCTACTTTGTGCGTTAAAACTTTTTCAGATTACAACTATCATTTCTTCTCATCACACTAGTCAAATAACAACAGCGACGACAACAGTAACGATAACATCTGGTAAAGAAAAGTGTTCAACAGGTGGTGTGTACTGGAAATGACATCAAGGAACTATGAGTGATAACTATCATGACAATGATGATTATGATGATGATGAAAATGAAAGATGAAGTATATTCATTTCTTACTGTTGTTTACTGACTACGTCAGCAGACAATCAAACTCTTTATTGCCCGTCAGTGCGGGGCAACACTCAAGAGTTGGACCTCAAGGTCCGTTAGAGGGTCAACCATCTGGAACAAAGAATTTGCAATAGCAACATAGCAAACATAGGGGCAGAAAGCCCACTATCTACAATTTTTCACTTGAAAAAAGCATATCAGCATAAATAAACAATATTTACGATAATGTAACACATGTTAGGCTTTTGTTTAAGAAGTTTTTAAGTGTGAGCAAATTCTCCCAAATATTTTGTATATGCTGTGAGCATTAAAAAAAACCGCAGATAAACTATTTTGGTTAAAAATGCTTTGATAGGCAGGTGATCTGCTTTAATTTATACAATATGGCTAAAAAATAGTGTACACATTTGTGGGTATGGGTATGGGTGGTGTTACTATAATGTATCTGCTAGATGTTACAAAACTGGCATGGCATATGTCAGGGCTATTCAACTGGTGGCCTGCGGGTCAAAGCGTTGAACAACCAGAACTTTCCACTGGAGTTTACAGCAGAAAAACGTGAAAAAGGAAAAGGGACAGCTCGTCCTAAAACATGGTCACGTTTTAGAGAAGGGATGGAAATTAGGGAAGAGAAGAAAGGGGCAAAGAAAAACAAAATTAATGTCAGCTTTACAAAACCAATTACAATAAAAATTCTCGGGATGTTGCTGTGATTAGTCTTCATCTGCAAACAAAGATAACACAGCACACACAGAAGTCTAGCAAGTATTCCATGATCATTGCCAACTGTAAAATAATGATTATATGCTGTGGCCGGCCCGTAATGATCCCTATAAGCTGGGACTGGTCATAGTGACCCTTATATGCTGGGGCTGGCCCGTAGTGATCCCTATATGCTGGCCCGTAATAATCCCTTTATGCTAGGGCTGGCTCGTAATGATCCCTATTTCAACATTCTGGTGCCTTAGTAAACTGAACTGAATAACCCTGCCATATGTCAAATGACAGAAGGCAAAGATCCCTGGTGGTGACAGAAACAAATATAAGGCTCACTGGTGTTTGGTTTAAACAATTATGGAACCTGTGTATTGGTTATAAATGATCTTAGGGATAGATCTGTGGATAAGGCAGGTATAGCAACCAGGATTTTGTATTTGGATTGCAACCTGTGGATTTACGGCTATTCTCCGAATAACGGGCACAAAAGATGGTGGCCAAAAACAGGGCCTCAGTCACGTGTCAATTGCGCACTTCCGGCGACCTAATTTGCGGTTTTCAGGCTACTACCGCCCAGAGTCTCCCTCCCTGCCGCTGATGCGGCGTGGATTGGGACTCAACTAGATGGCTAGGACTCACGAGCAAAGCTGCAGAAGATGCCGCTCGCTGAGTATCTCAGCGGTGGCGGTAGTCGCCGGAAAAACGGCAAATCAAGTCGCCGGGAGTGCGCTATTGACACGTGACTGGGGCTCTGTAAGGGTGTTTTTGCAGCCGCCATCTTTTGTGCCCGTTCTTCTGAGGATAGCCAGATTAACTATTGAGCAAATGGAGACTTCATCATTTGTAGAAGTCAATGACTAAGTAACATTCTAAAATGTCTTTCAATAATGGTTAACGAGCTTTAAAGTCTCCAAATCTCACACACACATACAGGCCTTCAGAAACAGCATCCATAGGTACAATATAAGTTAGTACTAGATGTTTTATTTGGATAGTATTATTGTCCGTCAGATAGAATCAGAAGAAATTTATGATCAAGTTTAAAACTAAACCAGGCATATGGCCCGTAAATTTGAACGTCAAAACATTAAAAAATAACTAAGCAATAAAATAGTCACATATCATGGGGAGGAGGGTGGGGAAAGAAGTGGGAAAGTGCATTAATTTGCAAAAATGTAAAGTTTTTCATGCAAAAAAAAAAAATAAAAAGCATTTTTGAAAGTTAAAAAAAAAAAAGCATGAAATGCATCAAAAAATTTTGATTGAGCTGAAACATGAGTAATTATTGTAAATATTAGACATATTAATGGATGAAACAAAGCACAAACAAACAAGAAGTGAACATTTTCATACATATACATACCATGTTTTGTCTGTGGATAGTAAAACACAATCACAAAACAAACTAGACAGAACAGAACATACACAATATTCCTTATAAAGCCAGACCAACCTCAAAAGATTTCTTGTAAATTGGTAATTATTGCATTACTTTGGTCTGTGATGGAGCCAGTAGGGGTGGACAATAATAACTAGGAACCACCTTTCTCGATGATGCATACATAACATAACACGGCAGCCCATAACACTGTTACAGAAACGTATTTCTTGGAAAGGTTTTAAGACCGAACAATGACTCGTTTGAACATAGGAACACACAGGAGATCCAAAAAACAAAACTAGGAAACAACTTGTGAGGCTGGCCATGACTTATGTAGGAATATAATGCACTGTAATATAATAGCATATAAAACGGAACCAATTACTCACCAATTACCGGCATCTCGTGCCGTTTGAGACCTTTCACCCGGTACTCGACTGGAACGTGCCCTTGGTCGGCGCCTCGGCAAATGATTTCATTGTTCTCGTTCTTCTCGTCATCGCTGTCTCCAGTAGAGAGTCCCAAAGGGCACTTCTCGAAGATGGTATCAATCTTACGGTAGCTACTGCCATGGTTACGAGCCGGCTTGTGAGAGAAAGGTAGGGCGGATTTCAGCAGAGATGCGAGGTCTCCGGGTCGCAGGGTCACGTAAGGCGAAATACGGCGTTCTAGAATGTTCTCTTCGTCTACATTTTCGTTATCTGAGAAAAAGTACTTCTGAATAATTGATTCCATTAAATTTACTGTTCTTGGTGGTGGGAAAAATAAGCAGTGATCTGCGGTGTAGTATACTTGTGAAGTTGATAGTTTTACAATTGTTTTTGTAAATGCAAATGCGGAGATTTAATTAATCTCCTTTTGCAATATATGACTGTCGGTGAAGACTATATATTTGGAATGGTTTCGACTTTAATAGAAGTAATCAAAGACGTTCCTTGGAAGTTAGAATCAGGGGCTTGGCTCGAGTTTACAATCAAAACAACAAATCTAGCAGTTCGTCCGTACACAGAGTCGGTTCAAACAAAACACCGGCGAGGTCACTGTGTTATATAGCGCTTGTCTGGACCAATGAACGGTCGCCGGAGCATGCCGGGATATATGACCGTAAAATCTGATTGGACGAGACATTCAAGGAAAAGTTGATCACGCACTGCTCCCGTGGCTCCCGCAGCAAGCCCTGTCAGATTTAGGAAATTTTTTTTCCTTTGTGCGCCAGCTTTGATTTTTTTTTTTTTTTCGGGGGAAAAAAAAAGCGGAGGTATGCAACAAGGCTGAATGTTACACGGTAGCTAGCGGAAAACGGAATTTCATTATCGCCCGGAGACGAGGGGAAAACAAAGTGGCAGAAAACCAGACACGGAAACGCGGATGGAAAAAAAAAAAAAGATTCCTGTCGTGTGTTGTTTCTGAGGTTGGGACTTGGGGTAGGGGGGGGGGGGGGGGGGGGGGGCAAGATAACAGACAGGTGGATTAATATCCAGCGTGGTTACAACATAGGTTCCAAGAACACTGTAGGGCTTTAGAAATCTCGGACAAAAATTGTAAAAGCCATCGAAGGCAATGTGATCTGTTTCATTCGCAGACCCGATTTTTGAATTCAGCAGTATTACACTCACATACACGCACGCACGCGCGCATATATATATATATATATATATATATATATATATATATATATCTATATATATATATATATAATATATATATATATAATAAACAGACAATGTATTGAGTGGCACTCATAGAAAGAAGTAGAAAATTAGAAGGACACACTGTCTATATGAGTATCAGTCAATACATTATCTGTTTATTATACGTAGAATATTTCTAGTCCCAAAGGTTTATATGTTTACATTTGAATTCAACAAGCAAGTGCTATACATCGGAAGCGTTCAAATAGAAATAAAATACTACAATTCAGTAAAGGTTAGTTGTGTATCCTTTACAGGACGTTGCATAACCAACCCCAGCAGCCCCTGGCTGTTGTGTGGTTTCTCTAGGCAAATTTACGTCAAGTAGTTTGCCATTGCTCTCTGGACGGTCGGCTCCCTGATACCACTGTCAAAACCAACACAAGGCGCGTAGCCCGCAGCCGGGATCGACCCCGGCATTACGAAGCCACAGAGCCGACACAAAACATTAATAATAAAGTAAAAGTAAAGGACTCTTTTCTAGAGACCTCAGGCGTATTGGGCATATAGGGCTAGACCAATACAGTATTTCATACATCAAACGGCATTGGGTAGATGATGCATTACGCCCACCATCTTTACTTCCCAGGTCATTTTTAAAGTCATTTTTTTTTAAAGAAAAAAAAAAGTCCGGCTCCGTTCTGAATCAAACCCATGACATTCGAATACGCAGGTCTAGCCACAGCGGCAACCACACAGGCAAGGAACCAACAGTCTGCATACAAAAAAGTATGTGATGAGGTGCTTTGTGTGGTTTCCACTCTCACAGCAAGTAAAGCAGAAAACTGTGCGACAAACAAGCACACGATTATACTTAGGGCTGAACGGAAAGCGAAAGTTCGAGGTGGACTCGTGGGCAGGGCTGCCAACACTGGGTCCCCCCCCCCCTCCCCCCGATCTGGGTTTTTATTTGACGCCTTGGGAAAATCTGTTTTTTTTTTTTTTTAATATATCCTTATATAAAAGTGGTAAATGTTTCGTTTCATAACTATACATTTTGTACATTTTAACAATCTGGGTTTGTTTGTTTTTTGTCTATGTATTGCTTGGGTTTTTGTTTGGCGAAGCTGGGTTTTTCAAAAAGATCCCAATGGCAGCCCTGCGTGGTCAGTTGTGTACCAGAGTTAGAAGAGGACAGACGTGATGTCGTTGCTGTAGTTTTCATTAAGTGTAGTTAACGTGGAGTAAATGAATATTGTGGCATATTTGTGGACACGAACAGCGATGATTGCGGTTGAGTAATTGAGATGGTATAGAAGAAATAAACTGACAGAGTGCATACAGGAATCCGAGCAGCGTTGTAGTGTTGTCGATTGTAGGAAGCTGAGTTTGTTCTAGAGTAAACGAGCTATATTAAAAGTGACCCAGCTATATAATACGAGCCAGCTTCGTTACATACGCCATATTTTAAAACTGATGTGCACGCAACACCCAGATCCTGAAACACGACTTAAGACCGGAGGTGGACGAACAACCAAACCTGTCCGCCTGAGGTTGCAACCGGTGAACGCCAAGCAGAAGATTTAATTGCGGCTTGGAAGAGGCGGCGTATACTCCCTTTCCCCACCTTTCTACAGGTGCCTGTACACACACACACACATACACACATATATACGCATACACAACACATAAACACACATACAGACACACACACACATACAGACACATAATACCCACACACAGACACATACATACACAGACACATACATGCACATACACACACACGCGTATACACATACGTATACACACACAGACACTTACGCACAGACACATACACAACGGGTGCCCCACATTTAACTCTTTTAGTCCCAGAGGGTTTAGCATCACAGGTCCAAGGGGTAGCCAAGAGAGATGTAAAATCAGCGCATCATACGTTCATTGGGCATCTAGGCAGTAACCTATGACGTATGATGCGTTCCTTGGGACTCAAGGAGTTAAAAACAATGGAGAGAGGATGTTTTAGAGGACAAATCGGGCCCTCCTTTGGCCCCAACACATTATCTGTGCGATTATGCCTCTTTTGAATAGAAGTATCTACTAGAACGCCATTGCCGGTCCCCATCCGGGACGAGAAAGAAGTGGAGTAGGGCGTGAGGCCAGCTCCTCCACCCTGTAAAAAATTACTTGCAATAGAAACTTGCATAAAACAGTGATGGGAGAGGCCAAAGCAGATGGACTAGATTCCCTCTAATCAGGATTGCCATGACTGCGCGGGATAGAAAGGAACGGAGCCATAAACTGCGAGCCCTCATGTGAAATATTATGACACAAAAGGAGAATTAATGAATGAATAAATGAATATTCAGCGGTCCAAAACAGACAACGTTAAAATGATCCAGGATCTTCAGCATCATTCTAAGAGCTCAAAGACTGCAAGGACGCGATTCTCACACATAATTGGTATATGGTGTTACTGACTGTATTTTGCACAGACTTATGGTGCTTGAACAAAAATCCCTCGTCTAGTTGAAGATTCTGCCATTTGATCACTGAGTCGGCAGGCAAGCGTGGTAGTTTACTGCTTCACTGGCTCTCCTAAACGGCTTCATGAAGTACCATAATTCACAAATGTCATACTAGGTTGGGAACCGCCGATGTGAAGCGGCTAGACACTCGCCTGAGGACCCCTAGGTCATGGGTTCAAGTCCTGATGAAGCCGGACTTGAAACAAAAATACCTTGGCTCCAATGTCAACCCATCCTTAAACTGGTACCAGGTAAAGCCCTGAGAAGTAAAGGCGGCCGGCGTGATGTTGACCACATCACCCACCGAGTGCCGATTGGTCTATAAAATATATGTCGACTCCTATATACACAATTCGACCTGAAAATAGTCCATATCATACTTGTTTATGTTTCTTTTTATTATTTCAGTAGTGTGTTAATTAGTTTATCTAGACCAGCAATTCCAACGGCGTAAATTAGTTCATCTAGAAAGTAAACAAAGTGACTGAGTGGTATTCAGAAATTAGAGCTGTCGTCCACCCAAAAAAGGTTTCTGTTTTGTGGTGTTCTCTAGACAACAGGATCGCTAAAGCTAATGTCCCAAGTCTCACGATAGATGGTAGAAATGTCAACAGAGAGAGCAAACTGAAGTATTTGGGAATTACATTTGACAGGAGCTTGTCCTTTAAGGACCATGTGGAGAGTGTTGTGACAAAATGCCAAAAAGGACTTAGTGCACTTAAGGGCTATCCTCCGAATAACGGTCCTAAATTATCCAGGCGGAAAATATACCATAATAGGGCCTCAGTCACGTGTCAATTGCGCATTCCCGTCGTCTTAAATTGCGCACTGCCGGCGACTTCCGCCACCGCCGAGAGTATCCCACACGCCGCTCACGCGGCGTGGATTGGGGTAAGTTGGCGATTCGGCGATGGCGTTATAGAACCGGAAGTGCGCAATTAACACGTGACTGAGACCCTGTTGGGGTATATTTTCCGCCTCGATAATTTAGGACCGTTATTCGGAGGATAGCCCACTTAAGACTATGGCTGCAATTGACATAGAGCAGAGAATGCTTTTCACACCATATCAGCACCTGATCCTGTCAGTGGTTGATTATGGCCTAGGATTGCTTACCGTCTCAAAGAGTCAGATGGACAAACTAGAGCGCATACTGGATTGCACCATAGACACCACAGTGGTGTGTATGCTATACATCCTTGGTTTGCCGACTGTTGTAGGTAGGCACAAGGTGCTGCAGGCGAAGTCATATCTCAGGGTAGCTGCAGACACAGACCACCCTTTGCACGAAGCTCTGGGTGCAATTAAGGGTCAGCGGCTGTTAAGAGGGAAGTCATGCATGGCTCAGGCAGAAGACACAATCAGACAGCTTTGCATCCTTGAGAACATTAGGCGAGGAGAGGAGTGGGTCAAAGTGCCACCTCAACAGTCAGACTTGTAATAATCACACTGAGTCGGGAATGCAGAGACTGGCCAGCAGGTGCCACGGAGATGGAAATTCAGCAATTAATTCAAGATAATGCTCGCTCAGAGGATTTGATCATTTACACAGACGCTTCAGTGTCAAGTGGCAAAAGAA